TTAAGAGAGCAATATAAATGAATTGTGTTGTCGATTTCTATATCCCGCAAGTATATGAATCGTAACAAGTAATATAATGAACAAATGAGTCCAGATATCGTTCTCACGAGAACTACACTTTAGGATTTAATCTAATTTTTCTAACTCGTATTTGATGAAAGTAAACAAAGAATTATATGTTGTGATTTTTTATTTATTTTTTAGTTTAAACACTAGAAATTAATCAAAATACACACAAAGATTGATTGAGAATTCAAATAATAAATGGATATTAGGGGCAAAACAATTTTATTTATTGATTACATTTAATTCTTAATTCAAGATTCAAGAGTCTAATATGGTGTTCGATCAAATTTTTTTATCGTATTCAATTTACCTTTCTTGATTTCTCATTGAGTTTATTTAACTAATTCAATCACATATTTTTTATGTGAATTTACTTTAGTTAAATGAAATATTAGTTCGAAAAATTAATATAATATTGCAATAATTAGTATATGTATCTCTACACGTTATACTAATTTATTTAAATTTTACTATATGGTCCAAATTTCAAACACACTTCTCGATTCGTAAAAGATTCACAAATTTATCAAATTAGTGATCAAGTAATTTAACGCATTAAACTCATAGCAAAATTAACATATGTAAGATAAAATAACAAGAATCTTGAATAAAATAAATTGTCCCAAGTAGATTACATTGTCCGCCCTAATATGAAATTTTGCTACTCATAATGAAAAAAGAAAAACAACAAGTTGTTATTGAATACACCACTAGGTTTTGAATAAAGATGTAGGAAAAAGAAAATAATCTTGTATGAAGATCTTCTCTCTCTTCCAATCAACGTTTCAAAACTTGAATTTCTAAACATTTTTCTCCCTTAAATTGCGCTATTCAATCTCTAGTTGTATTCTCTTTCTCTCAACGTATAGAACTTCTCAAGAGTGCCTCCATTCTTGTATTTATACACCCCTTCACATTTTTCCCATATTTGGAGTTTTTCTGGACTTTTCGCGTACGGTATAGCCCTAAAATAGGCAGTACAACGCCTAAGCACTTGAAGGCAACGCCTAAGCGTCGCGATATCTATTCTAAAATTGTTGCTTCTACCAACAAGCGTTGCGTTTTCGGTGCCTACGCGTTGACTTGTTGTTCCATGCTCGCCACTAGTGCGTGGGCGCTCCAAGTATGGCACATTTTCTGCGCATTCTTCAATATTCTTGTCATAAATTTTTCTTCCAATATCCAACTAAGGTGATTCAAAGTGCGTTTAAAAGATAACGCAAAGAGATACAACTTTATTGGAGATATTTTTTTTTTCAATTTAAACGTTTAGAATGTCAAAAATGGATTTTAATCTCCGACTAAAAATTTGGAACATACTTGTGTGGTTGAAAATTTATTTGTAAAAATATGTTGACCATATTTCACTCCTTTTTTTTTTACTTTTAATTGCATCTAATTGACCCATAGCATTCTCGAATGTTCATCTTGACGTTCGATACAACTTTTGAGTAATTACACTTTAGTTCCCAAACTTTGAATCTTCCATTGTTTCGCCAATTTTTGCTTATTTCTTTCAATTCAACTTCCTTTCATCGAGTTTCACCTATACAATAAATTAGATTATAATTGTTCAAAAGAACTATTAAATGTCTATATTTTTAGGTCTAAATACGTGTATAAAATACACTTATCAATCTGCCATTGACAATGGGAAACAACTCAAAGGAGCATTTTAACTTCTACCATGGAAATAGGAATTTTGACATTTGGGAACATTACATACATGAAAAAAATTATAATTATCAAGTTCTTGATTGCGCATACAATGAACTAAACTAAACTATCCAGGGAGAGCTCAGAATATATATTAAGAGCAAGGAGCAGAAGAAGAAGAAGGATAAAATGATCCAAGAACATCTTTGGCTAAGCTAGCTGAGACTTACTTTATGGAAAAAAAGGTAATTTAAATTATTTTTTACTACAAAGAAGCTTAAAAGTAGCTCAGCTGTCCTTGCTGTAGGTATTGAACATCAAACCAGTTCCTTTTAACTTCATTTCTATGAGCTTTTCAATACGTTCAGCCATCAAAGGAGAGAGATAATTGGTCCAATCTCCGACTTCTCCCTTCCTGAAATATGAACTATTTTGAATTACACCTCTGTTGCCAAACTTATTTACTTCCAAACTCTTGAGATTATCAAAGCTGCAGAGTCTTGATATCTCTTCTATGAGGCCTAGTTTTTCTTCCTCTACCGAGAAAGAGAATCCAATAAATTCTGCTATCTTCGTTGCACTAAACACAATATCCTCTTTGAGATCTTCGTATTTCAGAAACAACACTTTTCCAGAGTTGTTCAAGCTTGCATTCCAATATCCAATCATATGATCCCAAAATGGGCCAAAAGGGTGAATTCCTTTGCAAAACATTTCAAAGGCGTCATCAATGGCTAGTGGTTCTGCGTCTTTTTCTAATTTATTTTCGAGCAAGAAATGGCGATGAGAGATGAACTGATCCAAGGGATTTCTACAAATGTAGACAACCCGACACTTAGATTCAAGAATTGTATTGGGAAGCAACTCGTAAGGCATGTGGGTCGAAAACATTCTAGGACTGGGAATGCTCTCAAGATCAGGATTATCATTTCCCCAATAAACATTGAATTCAAGAAAAGTTACAAGTGAATGAGGGTTGGATGTGAGTAAAGGGGTTTGATCAATGGAATAATTATTGCGATTGACAATGCTGAAGATGAGAGCTTTCAACCAGGTGGTTCCTGATTTAGGCATGCTCGCCAATAGTATATCAGTATCACGAGCATCAAAGTGTCTTTGAGAGGATATTATTGGTCGAAAACATCGTACTGGACACCAAAAACCTTTGTATTGACACAGCCAACGGCCATCCCAGTTTCTCTCTTGTGGAAGTGTTTGGAATAATTCCTTTATATCATCATAAACTTTAGTAGAAGAGAGATCTTTCGAGGCTTCAGTTTTCTCCATAGGGGAAGAAGACGAAGAAAATGTGATATTATATAAATATCACCGTTGGCTGGCATTAGTGAGTGGAAGTCTCAAATTTATGGATATTTGTAGGAATATCCCTCTAGGATAACGAAAATCACGTGCAAATGAACCGGTGCCAACAGTCGCCCCCCCAATAAGGGGGCCACCACTTGTCAATTCGATAAAACAGTAGGTAAAAAATTAGGTACGTGTAGCATAACTCTAAAAATAATCTTACTATTTATTCACGCCTTACTTCGAGAATCACTTACCACCCTCATGTTCAAGCGATGCTCCATGCAAATACTCTTGGAATAAAAATTATCGAGAATTAACTAAGCTAAACCAGGTTGAATTCACATGAATGCACTGATATATCTAATGGAAGAAGGCTAAGGATTGAGGGATTTTCTGAAAATATTTGATTGAGGGAAAAGCACAGAGAAGGTGCAAAGAGGCCATGGAACTAAAATACACAAGGATTTCATAGTTGGAGTCCAGTGGATTAGTACAGCAAGATTGAGTACCTCTTATATTTAAAAATTCATTTAGCATCATGGCAGTGCAATAAGCCAAAAATCTCTTGTAAACAGGTTAAATGTCATTTTCAATAATTATCAATTTACCAATTTCTTATAATTGATTATTGATTGATGTCTGATTCAGATAACAACTTTCCTTATTTATTTCTATTTTAGTCAATTTGTTTGTTGGATTCACCAGCAAATGTATTGTTGAAAGGTAGAATAGAAAAATCAAGGAGATTGAGTTGTAGAATATGGTGAATAGAGCCAATTTTCTACCAATTAGAGGGGAGAAGACGAGACAGAATTCAATGGAAGAGGTTCCACAATTTTTTAATTTCTGTTCCCCTGTTTTTTTTGCTTGTCCTCCAATTCCTTTTTTAAAGAGAATAGAACAATTCCTGAACACATGCCAATGCAAAAACACATATTCTAACCATAATTTAACTAGAGTTCACACATCAAAAAATTATGGTAAAGTTTAGCTAAAGTTACTTCGACGTACATTAACGATAAAATTC